AATGCTGTCACAAAGGCATGAATGACTGCTACCATGATCACTGTTTTCTCTTTTATTGGTATTTTTGTTAATTAACCAAAATATCTGCCACTAGCCTTATAAAAGTGTTCATCAGCTTTCCTTTAATTTGAAGTAGATTAAAAGTGAGATTTGGCATTAATTAAACACAAAGAATTTATGGGGGATTTCAATTGAAAAAAAAAAAAAACCATAAGAAATGAACATATGAAAGGCTTCTTAATTTTTTTTTTCCACAATGAAAATGGTATTAAACAGTAAGAAGAAAGAAAGAATCCCATAAGAACAACATGCCACCACTGACTGGCTAGTAGTACATGAATAATTTGCATGGAGTCTAGCCCGGAAAATGTAAGGAGTGAGCTGAAGATCAACAACTGCCTTGGGCAGTTTTTAACTGTTATACTGATGTCTGTGAAATTCGATTTGTCTTTGAAAATACAGTAATATAAGTCTGTCTGGAAAGACAGAAATATGTCTGAAAACTTGTCACTGAGATTAACCAATGCAATTAATATTCTTGTATATTGTGTTCTGCACACATGATTCTGCCTGTCTATCTTTAAGTTGAATATGGAATAGATTGAATAGCCAACGCCTAAATGGTCTCTGTAAGTTTCACATTTATGACTTAAAAATACTGCTCAGATCTTGATGCAAAAAGAGGCCATCTTGCATGTTCTCCTCTCGCATGATTCTAGTTCAGCCTTGTCACACTGGCTTTTAAGGGAAGCTCTATCTTTGCAGCCCAGGCTACATGTGACAAGATTAAATTGGCACACTTTCACTGTATAGCTCTTGTATTCCTGGCAGCACAAGCCTGGCGGATCCCTCTGAGAGAAGTCTCAGCTGTCACTCAGTGACCCATTAACACTACTGTTCCATCCTGCAGTGTCAATTTTTTATTCTTATGGATATAATGCTCCCAGGAGACTGCAGATACCTGCAGGAATAAGAGAGAACAGCAGATTCAAGCTAACTATCAAAGACAGAGCAAACAACACAGCCAGAACACAAATTCCAACAGATGAATTCTAAGTGCAGTAAAAAAGGTCTATTATGATGGTAGGTTTTGAAATGTATTAAGAGAGTCCAGCTTTGCCTGCTTTTGGATCACTTCCCCCTGGCAGGGCTTCCTTGCCTGGCCTCAGGAGATGAAGATACAGGCAGTCCTGATGTGACTTGCTGTGCTGAGGAAGATTTATTGGGGGGGGTGTGACTCTGCTTTTCTGGGAGAAAAGAGAGAGGGGAAGGGGAGGGAGGGAAAGTAAGGGGGGCTGGAAGGAGAGGAGAGATAGGCACCCTTAGGGATGTAAAATAAATAAACTAATAAAAATTTTTAAAAAGAGGTATGGTAACTTTTTAGCAAGCTATTTTCTTTGCCCTGTCTGAATATCGGAAGTATCCAAAGTAAGACTTGCAATGTTGAGAAGGAAGATGCTTTGAATCTGTAACATGGGAGAGACTTTAAAACTGCTTAATAGGCAATGGATACAGACTAAAACACACATCAAGGAGAATTGCTTACTAATCTAAGCAGACCAGGGTCTTTGAGTAGGGGTGGCTTATTGGTGTATAGAAAAATAAAAATTGTCAAGTATCCCTATAGCTCTAGGATAATTAAGCTTCTTTGATGTCAAGATGGAACTGGTATCAGTAACTTAAGCAAACAACACTGCTCTCCAGCAGTTCAAAATAGCATATTGTTTAATGGGCACATTTTGAGATGCTACACTTTATGGTTACTACATAAAGAATTATGAGAACCTGACTCTAGGGATGGTGAGATGGCTCATTCGGTAAAAGTCTAATGGCTGGAGTTCAATCTTCAGAACTCAAGTCAGGGGAGAAGGAGACAACAGGCTCCAAAATTTTGTAGGCCAGAGCACAGTGAAATCACTAAACAAACTAAACTGCTTCATGGGTAGGAAGAAAGGTTTACTGAGGATCAAAGTGCCAAGGCCATACCTCAGAATGTAAGAAGAGAAAAATGAAAGAAAAGCAGGATGAGTATCTTCGAGATGGTACAGGCTATGCAGAATGACTAGATGCCTTGACCAAGGTAGTTGATAGTTGACCTGAAAAGACTAAAGGTGGTTCCTGGTAAACAGAAACCCTACCTTAGGAGATGAGCTTTTCTGGTAAGCAGTAAATTGCCTCTAGGCTTCTCTTTAGCCAGTCAAAGTCCATCTGTTTAGGACATTTTTCCTGGCACTGCTGTTTTGGGAGGCAATGCTTTGTACCTAACAAATGTCTTCTCATCTTCACACTTGAGCTGTGGCATATGTCTATCCCTTCAAAAGGACCCCCCCCCCATACAAACATACACATCACACACACAAAAACAAAAACAAAAAAACCATGGCTCTATATTTACCTTAATAAGATTAGTCAAATTTAGATGATTTCTAAGCAAAATACACTAATAAATGTGAGTCTTTGGAAACTGGTTGGAGATATATCTTAGTACAAGAAAAACCGCTCACCTTAGTGACAACGAAAAAGATGGTTAGAAGACACATCAAAAAACAAACAAACAAAAAAAAACAAAAAACAAAAAAAAATGGAAAACAGGCACAATTCAGAACAGTAACAAAATCAGAGAGAAGCCTCTAGCCTGCAAACTTTCTAGGAGAATCTGCATGTCAATCCTGCATTCAAAGTGCCCATATGAAACAAAGCTTTAGTGCCCTTAGGCTTGAGGTTCAGCTCCCTCTTAACTGTGGCAGAAGTAGGAGGATAAAAGTTGCATTGTCTTCAGTAGTATTTTGTTTTAAACATTTTAAGGGAAAGGTTATCTTGAAAAGTTAAGATCTTAAATTAATTTAATTAATTTGCAATTTTGTTTTTCATTAAAATAAAAATAGTATGAATAGAGCACCTAAAAACATGGTTGAGCAAATATCCTTGTTATATAGTTGAGCATATTTCAGATATATGCCTGGGAGTGGTATAGCTGGATCTTGAGGAAGCACTATTCTTAAATGTCTGAGAAAGTGCCAGATTGATTTCCAAAGTGGTTGTACAAGTTTACATTCCCATCAGCAATGGAGGAGGGTTTCCCTTTCTCCACATGATCTCCAGCATGTGCTGTCACTTGAGTTTTTGCCCTTAGCCATTTTGATGGGTGTAAGGTGAAATCTCAGGTTGGTTTTGATTTGCATATCCCTGATGACTAAGGACATTGGACATTTCTTAAGTGTTTTTCTGCCATTTGATATTCCTCTATTGAAAATTCTCTGTTTAGCTCTGAACCCCATTTCTTAATTGGAAACAATGTAGATGTCCCTCAATGGAGGACTGTACACAGAAATTGTGGTACATTTACACAATGGAATACTATTAAAAACAAGAAAATCATGAAATTTTCAGGCAAATGAAATGGTAGGAACTAGAAAAGATCATCTTGAGTGAGGTAACCCAGAAGCAGAAAGACACACATGGTATATACTCACTCATAAGTGGTCATTATACATATAATATGGGATAAACATACTAAAATCTATAGTCCTAAAGAACCTAAATAACGAGGAAGACCCCTGGGAAGATGCTCAGTACTCATTCAGAAGGGCAAATGCAATAGACATGGGAAGCAGAAGACAGGGAACAGGACAGGAGCCTACCACAGAGGGCCTCTGAAAGACTCCACTGATCAAGGTATCGAAGCAAGGCTGAGACTCATACCCAGAATGCATGGAATTTTATGAAAGAAGGGGAAGACAGAAAGACCTGGAGTGGACAGAAGCTCCAAAAGGAGACAAACAGAGCCAAAACAAAAACAAAAAACAAGCAAACAAACAAAAAAACTGGGCCCTGGGGTTTCTGCAGAGACTGATACCCCAACCAAGGACCACTGATGGAGAGGACCTAAAACCCCTGCCCTGATGTAGGGCATAGACTCGGTTTCCAAGTGGGTTACCTAGTAAGGGGAGCAGGGTCTGTCTCTGGCATAAACTCAGTGGCAGTCAATCTGATCACCTCCCCCCTGGGTGTTGCAGCCTTGTCAGGCCACAGAGTAAGACAATGCAGCCAGTCCTAATGAGATCTGATAGGCTAGGGTCAGCTAGAAGGGGAGGAGGACCTCCCCTATTAGTGGAGTAGGAGAGGGGTATAGTAGGAGAGGGAGGGAGAGATTGGCATGAGACAAGGTGGGGCCCACAGCCAGGATACAAAATGAATAAATTGTAAAAAATAATTAGTAAAAAATTAAAAAAATAAAAAATAGTATATGATTAATTAGGCGTACCAAACATATTTTAAAGATTTAAGTAGAAAAAAACCAAAATGAACAAAGGAAAAAAAAATACACTAAAAAAAAAAAAATCACAAATAGAGTATTATTGAAACCTTTTTCTCATTAGAAAACAGTAAGACAATTATTGCACCAGGACATATAAACAAGTAGAAGGTAATAATCAGGTTGTATTTGTTCTTAAGTTGTGTATTTGTACATACTTTTCAATAAATATGTGAAGACATTAAATTTTCTTTTAAAAACATAAAGATAGAAGAAACAATGATGTCATTTTGGCCTGCCCCTCCCTTCCTCTTTTTGAGGTGGGAGCAGAAACATACCCCAGAGAGGCCTCACGCTGCCTGAGAACGGGACTGAAGTGGGGATCCTGCAAGCCTCCGTGTCATCTGCGCAGCAGTGTCTGCCCAAGCTTGGAGGTGCTGAGATGGAACTCAAGTACCCTAGGCTATGTTCTCACCCTGTCCGGATTTTTACCGAGTGGTACAGGTAAAGACATTCAGTTCCTTTGGCTGACGACGATGAGGCCGTTACTTAGGATGAAGGCACCTGAGATGTTAATTTTTGGCCTGGAAAACACTGACCACCAGGCTCCGTGGGCGTGGCTTTAGGTTGATGACGCAAGCAACGTGACTCTGTCGCGCTATTCTTGCGTCACAAGGAGCTGGGCCTCCATTTTGAAGGCCTCCGAGTGATCGTTAGGAGCCTGTACTGCGCCTTGCGTTTCTCCATGAGGAAAATGCTAGCGGCTGTGGTGTCCCGCGTGTTTTCGGGAGAGGTCCAGAAGCCGCCGCTCAGAGGGCTGCTGGCATCCTTTAACTTCTCCAGTAAAGCCACCTGTGACATTAAGAAATGCGATCTGTTCCGGCTGGAGGAAGGGCCCGCCACCTCCACCTTGCTCACCCGAGAGGAGGCCCTCAAATACTACCGGGCCATGCAGGTGATTCGGCGCATGGAGCTCAAGTCGGATCAGCTCTATAAGCAGAAATTCATCCGCGGTTTCTGTCACCTGTGTGACGGGCAGGAAGCCTGCTATGTGGGCCTGGAGGCAGGGATAAATCCCACGGATCATATCATCACCTCCTACAGGTCTCATGGCGTTTCCTACACGCGGGGAATGTCCGTGAAATCCATTCTCGCAGAGCTGACCGGCCGCAGAGCGGGCTGCTCAAAAGGCAAGGGAGGCTCCATGCACATGTACCACAAGAACTTCTACGGCGGCAATGGCATTGTAGGGGCACAAGGACCCCTGGGAGCTGGTGTTGCTTTTGCCTGTAAGTACTTGGAAACTGGTGCGGTCTGTGTGGCCATGTACGGTGATGGTGCGGCTAACCAGGGCCAGATAGCTGAAGCTTACAATATGTCAGCCTTGTGGAAATTACCCTGCATTTTCATCTGTGAGAATAACCGTTATTCTATGGGGACAGCTATCGAAAGAGCAGCTGCCAGCACTGAATACTATAAGAGAGGCAGTTTTATCCCTGGACTGCGGGTGAATGGGATGGATATTCTCTGTGTTCGTGAGGCGACCAAGTTTGCAGCTAATCACTGCAGATCTGGAAAGGGGCCCATTTTGGTGGAGCTGCTGACCTACCGTTATCATGGTCACAGTATGAGTGATCCAGGGATCAGTTACCGCACACGAGAGGAAGTTCATGACGTGAGAAGCAAGAGTGACCCGATTATGCTTTTCCGTGAGAAAATGGTGAACAACAACCTCAGCAATGTTGAAGAACTGAAGGAAATTGATGCAGAAGTGAAAAAAGAAGTCGAGGAAGCAGCCCAGTTTGCTATAACGGATCCAGAACCATCTGTGGAAGAAATAGCACATAGCATCTACCAACAATCTACACCCTTTGAAGTTCGTGGTACAAATAAGTGGATCAAGTATAAGTCCATCAGTTAGAGAGTACTTTGTAGATTTGTTACAAATTCTTCAGTGGAACATTTATGGTGAACTTTAGGAAACTTCCCAGCTTTGTTAAGGAGGAATAAATAAAAGAATGCAAACAAAAGTCTTGTAAACTTGTATACATTATTCGGTTATTAAGGAGATTAGAAGATATACGTTTGTTGAAAATGTTCCCTTTTATATTGTAACATTAAAAACACTCTTGTAAGCAATATGAATATCTTTTAGAACATTTAAATTTCTAATCTAAATGTATAGATGTATAGGTGTAAAATAGGAAAAACAGGTTAACTTCCTCAATTTTTCATAGCAGTTATGTTTGAGTCATTTCATTTTGTTTGAGTCTTGAAATAAATAGTTATATAAAGAAGTAGATTGTTGATTCCTGTGACATGAGTTTGTCTAAAATCCTCTTCTGAGTTAGGAGGATGAGTTCCAGACACTCAGGACCTCTCCTCCTAAGCCATTTGCAACAGCTGATACACATGAACTGGTGTATATCATGGAAGGCATGAGTATGTGATATTGGTGCTGAAGTGTGGTATAGGGCAGAGGTAGGGGCAACACAAATGAGGATGTTTGGTTGTTGATGGTTATCACAACACTTTATTTTGTTTACAATATTTGTGGTATACTAATTAGGAAAAATGTAAACAAAAACTCTAGGAGAAACTTTCATTTGCATTAATCTTCATGCTAATGTTATTCTTCCTTTACAATCCTTGCTAGATGTGTTCTAGATATGAGAAAGCAACCGTGGTGAATTTTTTGACTGAAAAGAACAAACACCACCACCTCTCAAAACTGAAAAAGTAAAATCAAAGGGATGATGCACTTAATTCAACTCTAATTTCCCTTTCAAGATAGCTATGGCGTTCATACTGCAAATGGCTATGTTGACTAGTATCTCATATCATCTAAGAATATACAGATTAAAATTTACCTAAGGAACACGTGACAAATCATACAGGCTCAGTTCTTTATAGTCTAATTAGTATGCCAAAACTTGTTGAAACAATATTACTTGTTTATATTTGGCCAAACTTTAAATCTTCTTGAACTTAATGCTTGGTTTATGCTGCTCTTCTGAGACAGATCTAATTGAAAGCAGAAAGGAGGATTTCCCAGATGATTTCAGAACCAGTTTCTGGACATACAAAGATTTTTATTTTATATCATCTACTTTTATAAGTAAAATGTTGCCTTGTATTTTTGTTACTGTGATGAAATACTCTGATAAAAGCAACTTAAAGAGGAAAAGGTTCATCTTTGCTTCAGTAACAGTTCATGATAGCAGGGAAGTTGAATGAGGCTCAAGGGATCTGATCACTTTACATTCATAACCTCAAATAAACAGAAGGCTTTTTAGTGCTGAGCTCCCTCTCTTTTCTCTTGACAGTCCAGGATCCCTCACCTATGTACTGGTGCCACCAACAGTATGGAAGGGGGCAGGATTCTCCCTATCTCAGGTAACACAGTTCCTCACAGGCATGTACAGAGGGCTATCAGAGGATCCTGTCAAGATGATAGCACTAATCATGACACTGGTTTCCAAGAACTTTAATGGAAAACCAAAAGCATTTGGAATTCTTAGGAAGTATGCTCAGGTTGAGAGTTCACAGCTTTTATAAGTCTATCTGAGTAGAACAGAAACACAGCAACCAAATGGCCATGAATAAAGAATATGAGAAGCAAAGCTAGAATTAAGCCAGACCAATTGCCTTTAGCAAAGGAACAACAAAAAAAGAAAAATAACATAGAAATCAAAATATTCCAAATCATAAGATGAAAGAAAGAGATGAACAAGTAGGTTTCAAATAAGGGCAAGAAACCAAAGGTGAAGCTGACATACCTTTGTGTAATCCATAAGCCAGTGTCTATTGCAGCATCTCATATCTGTTTTCAGACAATGAGTCTTCTCTAGTTCTGTTAGGTACCACCTTTGGCAGTAGAATATTGATTTATAGCACTTAAATACCAGTTTATGTCATGACCTTTGCATCCAAGAAAGATGATATCTTGAGAATTGACTTCACCTTGTATAACTCCATTTCTTACTCTGTAAAAAATTTACCCCAAATGGGTGTTGTAAAGAAGAAATTAACTCTAGCATAGTATAATTAATATTGATTTCTAGTTTATTTTTGCAGTGCTTGTCACTGAGAAAAGAAACAATTTGAAAGGAATTATTAAGTCTTAATCTGCAAATAGTAAAAATTCATAGCTTCCATGTAGGTAGGTCAGTGCAAGCCATGTTTTTATTATGCAAAAGTAAAAGCAGCATATAAGGTATTTTTCAAATTTAGCAACATTTTCATCTTAATCTTCATTGGATATTGAAATTAGTGTCAAAGAGTTTAGATAGAAAATTTTTGAATAACAAAAATAAATGCAGGAAAAATAGATGTCTCTAATTTGAACACAAATTTCATTTAAAGGTGATTCCCCAATCTGTTGGTTATCATATGTAACCCAGATACTATATACATACTAATTTGATAGCGTTAGGGAATATATATTTTGCCATTGTATTCTTATATAGATAACTGATAATCTAATTATAGTAATGTCTTCAAAATCTGCCTTCCTCTTTCTACTGAAGATTCCTTTTATGCAATGCTCTCAAATACTTAAAAAAAATTGAATCAAGCTTGAAAGGAAAATCAAAGTCTCCATTCAATCAGTATAATTTTCCCATTGAATAAATCCATGTCTATGTGATTCATGAAGCTGATACACAGAGTATGCTGAACACAGAGCAAATATAGGTCCCTGCATGGGAATTGGAGGAGGGAAGATGGTGATTTTCTGGTGGAGTTACACACAGAAAAGAGTAGAATCAAACTAGGAAACACGAAAGAGTAACAGAGTTTGTACAATACTTTGATTTTTGACAGGCCAATAAATACTTAAGCTGAATAATTTATCCAAAGAAAAAGAACACAGTCAAGCCCCATGACCTTTTGAACAATGAGCAAGAGTTCAATTATCCATAAAAATGTTCTATTAAAAGTCAGCTTTCCAGGCGGAAGTGTTATTTCAGCAGTCCTGTTTTAGAATTATTAAAAAGAGAGAATTGTGCCTCTATAGTTGCTGTGCTGGGCTGTACTCAGTAACTCTATTTTAAGAACTCTGGGTTACATGAAGTATCACTGTCACAAAAAGAAAGGAAAAATGGAGGAGGAAATAATTATTTTAATATCATTGCTGGAGGGTAAGAGCTATTAGATTTCAGTGGTACACTTGATCTGAATGTGACTATAGCCATGCTGTAACTTCAGAAAGAATGTAATTTGCTTCCATTAGAGACTTAAGGAAACATGTTAGAAGGGCTCAGAAAATTTTCCTCCTTTAAGCCACATAATCTGCCATGCTGCTGAACTCATCAATTTCTGGGTCCCATGTATTACTCTTTGCTGTTGCTGACTGTGCTGGATAGTCTTATGTCATCTTCACACAAAAACTAGAGGTCTGTAAGTCCTGGACTCTATAACAAAGCAGGCTTTCCAAGCTAGGAGTAACGAGACAGTAAGCAGCACCCCTCCATGGCCTCTATATTAGCTCGTGCCTCCAGATTCCTGCCCCATTTGAGTTCTTGTCCTGAACTCTTTCAGTGATGAACAGCATTATGGAATTTTAAGCCAAATAAACCCTTTCCTCCACCAACTTGCTGTTTGGTTACAGTATTTGATCACAGCAATTGTAACTAATTAAGACAAGTTAGTACCAGGAGTGAGGTATTGCTGTGACAGACCATGTTTTGGGAAGGATCGTGGAAGGACCTTGAAACTTTGATCTAAAAAAAGTCACTGAGTGCAGAGAGATAAGAATTCATTCTGTAGGAGTGTAGAAGATAATGTAGAGAACAGTGCAGAAGATAAAGGCATGGTTTGTGAAGTGTTAGAGGGAATTTTAAAGACTTATCAAAGCCTTTTTCTATTTTAAAATGAGACTCTGTTGTTCTGCTCACCTGGGGCTGAAGAGACTAGGAACATTGACGTGAAACTGCATTACAAGGGCAATTGATACTGGTTAGTTGGAGCAAACAAATTAGCAGTGATTGAGAAAAGACCAGCATCCTTAAGGAAAAAAATCATCTTGGAAGTGTTTCTTCAGGGTCAACACACATGCAAGCTGTGTTTCAGAAGCTGTCAGCCAAACTTGCTCTCAGTGTAAGAGTCACCAATGTGGTACTGGTTTTGCATATATAAAGGTGCCCTGGAGAGCAGCTGAGGCTTGGTAGTTTGAGAGGGGAGGAGAAGTCATTGGTATAGGTATAGCCTTGGTGGTAGTTCAAATCCCAGGACTGAAGAGGTCATGCAAAGACATCAAGGCTTGGCATCATGAATAGAGACTGAAATTTTAGTGTATTTGTTTGTTTTGAAACAGGGTTTCTCTATATATGCCTGGCTGTCCTGGATTCAATTTGTAGACCAGGCTAGACTTTCCCTCACAGAGACCCACCTGCCTTTGTCTTCAGAGTGCTATAATTACATGTGTGTGCCACCACACCTGGTTTGTGTTTGTGAATGTGTAAAGACTGTGGGACTTTTAAAATTATTTATGTTTTAAATGTGGTATTTGGGGGATGAATAATAAAGGAAAGGTGTGGCTTAATAGTGATGTGTTTGTGTGCCAGATTGACCAGGGGGTCAGTTGTACTAGCAAGTCTTATGTTAACTTGACACACAAACAGGGCTATCTGTAAGGAGGGAACCCATATCGAGAAAATGTCTCAAAATTGTCCAGCTGTAAGGCATTCTTTTTAGTGTTTGATAAGGGAGGGCTCATTGTGGGTGGTGCCATCCCTGGGCAGGTTCTACAAGAAGCATCCTGAGCAAGGCAGGAATAGCAAGCCAGTAAGCAGCATTCCTCCAAAGCACCTGTATCAGCTCCTGCCTCCAGGTTCCTGCCCTGTTTGAATTCCTGTCCTAACTTCCTTAAATGAAGAATAGCAATATGAAAATATAAGCCAAATAAACCCTTTCCTCCTC